CAGAAATAAGATTGGCAAGTTAATAATGGAGCCTTAATCACACTGTTCCCTGCTGGCTTTGGGAGAGAATTACTGGGAGATAGGATGGGTGTTGGTGGAGGAGACAATGCCTTCCTAGGGCCTTGGGGATGGAGTTTCACTGGGCCCCAAGCCTCTGTCCCTTCTGCAGACCCCAGCCTTAGTTTCCTCACTGAGGCATAACTTCTTCGGGCAACAGTGCTTTGACTTCCCACTGAGAAATTCGCCTCTTTACAATGGCCCTGGCTCTGGTTTTTGGTGTCCTCCACCTTTGTGGAGACCAGAGTAGTACGCTCAGGGAAGGCTCAGGACCTAGCTGGGGCACTCCTTGGAGCCTTTGGGACAGAAGGATCACTGGATGGAGAAGGCTTGGGCCAGAGCTGCTGCTGGCTGCTGAGCCCTGCGAGGGAGGAGCTGGAGGCTGGAAGGCCAAGCCCCAGAGCAGCCAGGGCACACCCAGCCCTGCAGCGAACCACCTGGACCCCTTCTGCTTCCAGCGCCGTCTGTCACACGACCGGGCTTCTGATTAGGGACAGGATGGTGCTTACATACATTCACACTGCTCCTCTAGTTTTTGCCTGTCAGAGAGTCTGTGAGGAGGAGAAGCTGGGGCAGAGGCCAGACCTGGCCTGCAGCAGGTAATCTTGAGGATGGCCCCACTCTGCTCTTGGGTGGCGGCTGCCTCTGCTAGGATAGAAGCGGATGAACATCTAATTGGAGAGGGCTCCAGGGGCCAATCTTGGCTGTGGCGCTGAGGATGGTGGCAGTGCCAGCCTGTGGATCTGGAGTCTCTCCAGAGGCCATGCGCTGAAGGCCTGAGGCACTGTGGGAGGTGCTAGAGCCTTTAGGAGGTGGTCCCCAGTGAGGTCTTAGGTCAGGGCTGTGTCCTTGGAGGGGGCTGGGGGAGTCTGGAGTCTCGCTCTCCTGCTTCTGGATAGCCCTGAGGTGAGCGGCATGTATCCTTATGGCAGGTTGGCAGCAGCAGGGCCAGGAAACCACGATGGAAGCCTCTGAAACAGTGAACTGAAAGGAACCTGTCCTCTTTTTAAGGTGATTCTCTCAGGTGTGTTGTTACAGTAAGAGAAAGCTCGAAAGGGCACTCAGCCCGTGCAGCACTGGGGGCCCAGAGGAGGAAACAGTAGATCCTCCAGCAGCAGGGCCCCACACACAGCAGCAAGGAGCAGTGGGATTGCCACTGAAGCTGTAGATACATACCCGAGGCTAAGGCCTCCGTGTGCCATTCCCAGGTCTTCCTGCTGAAGAGCAGCACTGGGGCACCAGCTGTGGCAGGGAGGGCAGCAGTGAACTTGGTGTCAAGGTCTTCGCTTGTCATACACCGTTAAAATGGGGAAAATCCAAAACGGAGGACACAAGACAAAGGAAGAAAAGGACACAGTGCAGGAGCAGGGGAAGGGCAGCCCCACACAGCTCAAGTCCTGGTGACAGACAGTACAGCAATTGTGGGAGCAGCCAGGACAGGTGGGTGCAGGAGGAAGAAGGGCTCTGCACTTAGCTTCCGCTGTGTAACAAATTACTGCAATGCAAAGATTCATTCCACGTAGTTTCTGAGGGTAATTTGGAAGCAGACTATCTGGGGATCAGGGCGTCAGGTGGTTGCAGTCAAGATGACAGGCAGAGCTGGGCATGCTTCTGCAAGCCTGAAATCCCAGCTACTTGGAAGGCTGAGGCAGGAGGATTGCAAAACAAAGCCCAGCTTAGGAAACTTAGCCAGACTGTGTCTCAAAATACAATTAAAAGGGCTGGAGGGCTGGAGAGATGGCTCAGTGGTCTAAAGCACCTACTTAGAACAAGCTTAGCAAAGCATCAGGGACCGCGGTTCGATCCCCTAGCACCACATGCCAGCCAGCCCCGCCCCCTGGTGGGCTGAGCTGGCCACATACACCACACACACTCACTCTCTCTGTCTCTCTCTCTGTCTCTCTCTCTCTCTCAAATAAATAAATAAAAAATTAAAAAAAAATAAAAATAAAAAAATAAAAAGGGCTGGGGATGTAGCTCAATGATCCCTAGCTCAATCCCCAGTCCTGGAAGATGTGGGTGGGTGGGTGAGATGCTATCAGGTCTGCAGTACTCTCAAGTGTGACAAGGTCTGGAGGACCCCCTTGTAAAATGGTACCCTCATCTGGTTAATGACAGAATGCCTGCTCATCATTAAGTGGGCCACTTCACAAAGCCACTGAGGACCTGCAGCAGACTTGTCTCAAAATGCAGCCAGATGTGGTGGTGCACACCTGTAATCCCAGCAGTCTGGGAGGCCGAGGCAGGAGGATGGTGACTTTGAACTCAGCTTGGGCAACTTAGTGATTTAGTGAGAATTTGTCTCAAACAAGGGTGGGGTGGGGGCTGGGAATGTAGCTTAGTCTGAAGGCCCTGTGTTCAATCCCTAGTCACACACACACACACACACACCCCAAGAGAAAAACAGAGAGAATGTCATCAGACAAAAGCCACAAGGCAGTCCTTGCCCTGAGCTTGGGAGTGACACTGCACTGCTCCTGTGGCCCTCCACAGACCAATGCTGGTGCCACATGGCAGAGTAGGTGCTTTTCTAGGGCCATCTTGAAGACTGTCACCACAGGCTCCAAGAAAAAATGAACTCATTGATGCCTTGATGTTTTCAACACACCAAAGGGAGATTTATATTCCATTTTATTCCACTGCATGGTCCAGGGATAAATAAGTAATGGGTACATGGAAAGTAAACCAGCCCCTCCCACAGCTGAGGCAATTATTAAGTCCAGGACAAACAAGAGGTTGTCTAAGAAAAGCAATTACAAGCCAGCACTCAGCTGTGACGGGTGTATGTGAGGCAATATCACACACACACCCTGGCTTCGGAGTCCCTGAGGTGGGAGATGGGGGGAAGTGTGTGCGTGTGTGTGTACGCGTGTGTGCATGCCTGTGTGCACACGCCTGTGTGGGGGAGTCAGGAGAGCAGGGTGGGAGGGAAGGGAGGTACTGTTTTTATACTGCAAGCCTCAGAGAACTGCTTGATTATCCAACTATGCACATTTATGACTGAAAAACATAAATGAAACTGAAGTAACTGAAAACAAACTCAAAATATCCAAGTGCTCCCCCACTCCCCTTCCACCTGGGGAGGCAGGCAAGAGCTCTCTTTCTGCAATCCTGTCCTGGGTCTTTCTGTCCTTTGCAGGCCTTGTCCCCTCTCCTAGCCTGCCTCAGCTTCCCCTGCCCACCTTTCCGCACTCAGGCCAGGGCAGGGAGGAACTGGACAAAGGACAGGGGGCTATTCTGAGGGGAGGGGGCCAGCTGTCTGGCAGGGCCTGCACTGCCTCCCACCTGGCCCTCTGGCCACCCAGGGCACTAGGAACCCAAAGGGAGCTGCCACTGCCTCCAGCCTGCAGGGAGGGAGACAAACGGGAGAGCTGTGCTCCATCATTCGCACGACACCTCCCTAACCACCTCTCATGCTATTTATCTGGCTGTCAGTGCCGCCATGTGCCTTTGCCTTTAATTAATAATTTGGTAAGACGAAGGACCTGGGTAGGCCAGTGTGGCTGGGCCTGCTGCTGCTGGGTGGGTGAGGCAGGCTGGCAACCCCTCTCTACCACCCAGGTAGCACCCCAGTTCCTCTCCTCTGAGAGACGAGGCTGGGGCTGACGGGACAGGTGAAGGCTGTCTGCTGCTTGGGCATAGCCTGGGAGGCGAGGGAGGCCTCTGGTGCAGATACCCTCCCACCCCAAACACTCCAGCCCACTCTGGAGACACTGATGCCACTATCCAGTGAGAGAGGCACAGCTGTGAAGTGACTTGTCCAGGCACACCCAGCCTGCAGCAGGGGACTTGGGACTGGCTGCAGCACAGCTGGCCACCCCCGGGGCTGCCTTGATCAGATTGCAGCTGCAGGAGAGGGGAAGGCAGATAAGCAGGGGTCCTGCAGTGGGGAGCCCTTGGGGGGCTTGGGTGTGACCCAGCAGCAGCCACACCATCTCCTTAAAGCTTCACGCTCCCAGCAGCAGGCAGGGAGGGACATAGGCAAGGGGCACGGAGACCAGCAGGTGAACGGGAAAATCTATTTGGATCCCACTTGAATTATTAAGAGGTTCAAGAATATTCTTAGCACCAGAGAGCTGTGGTCTGCTGAGATGGCCTTTACCGCGGGCCCTATTTTTAAGGTTCTGTGGGAAGGAGTGGAGACGCCACTGCACTTAGGGCCCCCAGGGGACCCCTCTGCCCCAGCAGTGATGCCTCACACCCTACCATCACCAGGGCACCCTGGCCATTTACCTGCCTCTCCATCAGCAGAGCCTAGGCCCCCATATCCTCTTTCCACTGGCCCTGCCCAGCCTCCTGTCACAGATGGGAAAGGGCCCAGCTGGCTCTGGACTGTGGTCACTACCTATTCCCAAGGGAAAGGCTAGGGTCTTAGAGCTGAGGAGAGGTCCTCTCATGGTATTAGTGTGGCCATTAGCAGTGAGGTCAGGGGCCTGTGGTCCAATGCCTGTACCCCTCAAATGCTGTGGACCCTGTGCTGCCTCCATTCCTCCTCATGATAAACTCCAGGTGGTTCCTGGAGTTTAAGGGCCACCCTCATTAAACCCAACCCTGTGGCAGAGCTTCCTGAGAGGACCTGTGCCCTGCCTGTGTCCTCCAGCTCCTGCTCATGGAGCCCTCGGCCCCAAAGCCAGGCCCCATCTGAGGACATGGGGTGAGGTGGATCTGCACGTTAGATCTTGAGGCCAGGTGATAGGTGACTATTTGGGGAAAGCCAGGGAAGGCTGCAGACAGATGTGGTCTAAACCCTGGGTGAGGCAGGTCCTCAGCAGGGGCCTGCCCTCCCACTACCCACGAGGATCAGGTCACTGTGGGGGCACTCCTCAAACCCACTCCAGGACAGCCTCACCGAGGACAGAGAGGACACGCATTACCAAAAGCGAGCATTAAGGTGGACCACTTAATGACTCCATGGACATAAAAAGAAGAGGCCACAAACAAAGAAGTGTACATCACTGAATCAGAAACGTGGACAAACTCCAAGCATATAAACCAGCGAACACAGAGTATCTGGGACATACAAAGAATTCCTGCAGCTCAGCAATAAAAAGACAACCCAATTAGAAAAGGTGGAGGGTAAAGCACATGAAGAGATGTTTTTCCCAAGGCGTACTACTGGCTGGCAGCACATGAAAACGTGCGTGGCACCATCAGTCATGAGGGACACCCAAACGACGCTTTGTGGCCCTAGATGGCTAGAATGCAAAGGAGAAACAGTCACAAGCGAGTGAGGGCGAGGGGAAACTGTGCCCATACAGTCTGGTGGGGCTGCAATATTGTGCAGCCACAGTGCAGAACATCTTGGCTGGTTCTCACTTCCTCTTGGCTGTGGACTCACCAGAACCAAAACACACACAGACACTCGTCCATAACACTCATGGCAGCCCCCCAAACAGCAATAACTCAAACACCCGTCACCTGCTTTGTGAAGAGCTGCAAGGTGGTAGCTCCTTGCAGCAGGGTTTCAGTCACAAGGAGCTAAGTGCAGCAAGTCCCTAACTTATGAACAAGTTCCATTCTGAGAGGTTAAGTTGGATCCACTCATAGTCAGAGGGAGGCTTATACAGCACACCTGTGAGTTTTCAATACTGATTTTTTTCCCCCAACACTGATGTTTTTAAGTTGGGGACTTACCACAGTGACACATGGTACAACACAGACAAACCCTGACACATTCACCAAGTGTGGGAGACCAGACTTGAGGGCCACACATGGAGGGGCTCTGTGGGTCCTACTTTTCCAAACTAATGGCTTCCCTTCATTAAGGGGCCACCATGTGCCAGGCTTTATCTAAGCCCCTTATGTATGTCACCTTATGGGACCTCCTCAGACACAAGGAAGGACACATATTATCCCCACCTGACATGTACTTCACCAAAGCATGTGAAATGCTGGATCCCAGTCGGCTCTGCTGAGCCTCAGCCCCATGCTTCTGCTGCCAACCCCTGGTCCTCTGGGAGGGATCTGGAAACAGGAGGGCAGATGGCGGGGCAGCTGTGAGCCCTCCAGCCCTGGGTTCAGTGGGGATGCAGGGGGTCCCACGAGTGTGTTTTAAGTTTGTGTGGGCCAGGCTGTGCCCTAGAACGCCACCACTGGGGCAACATATCCTCCCTCTCCTGGGTAAACCGCAGGGAGGCAAGCAGAAGGCATCCCATGAGAAAACAGGTTCTGAGCAAGAGACAGAGCATTCCACCTCAGATGGTTCTGAGGGTTAGGCAGGGGGCCTTGCAGCTGTCTCCTCTGGACAGGCTGGATGCCAGTGTGTGTGTGGTCCCTTAGGCTCAGTGAAAAGGGGTATACCCAGCAGGTGCCCACCTTTATCTCTGGGACCCTCCTTTCCTTCCACCTCCATCCTGACTCAGGACTAGTGAAGCCAGACCTATCTACTACCTGTCAACTCCACTCTGGGAGCCTGGGAGGGATGGGCTGAGGCAGGCCCTGAGTCTTAGTTGCCTCGTCAGCACTCAGGGAAGATGCAGGGTGCTGGGCTGGGGCAGGGCTCCTCCCATCATGGGGATGGTTTTGAGGCAGAGGCAGGAATGGGGGTGGTGGTACGCGGCACAGACAGTAGGCTTGGGGCCTCTCTTGGGCCTACTCATGGTGAGCAGGCTGGAGGACAGGCAGATCAGGGAAAGAACACACATACATGTGGTGTTGGAGGTAGTCATACAGCTTGAGCCCCTCCCAGCTGTACAGGTAGCCTGCTTTGGCTGGTGGGGCACGGTTTAAGCACAGCCCTGAAACAGGTGCATTTCCAAGGTGTAGATGGCATGGAAGCTGTGGGCACTGGCACAGGCTGCTAGTCTTTTGACCACTGGGGCATCTGAACCCCAAGTCCCCTATGTGCTCTGGAGAGTGATCTCACAATGTTCTGGTCTGGCACTTGCCTTCAGGACATCTGTCCTTCTGAGGCAGTGATCGTGCAGGTCACTCAATGCTGGAGGAGGCAGGACAGCTAACAACCCAAGTGGTATCCTGCTGGGTGCTCTGGTCAGTGTTTCTACCACGGGAGGTTCCACAGTCCTTAGCAACTATTCCTCAGAGTGGTTACTGTCCTGAGGCTGACGTGGGAGGCCGGCAGTTGGCGTCTTCACGGTGCCCAGTTCCCAGAGACTGTAAGCCCTTGCTCTGCTGCTGAGCAGCCTGGCTACGGTGCTTCCGGGTCTGTCCCCGGGCCTTTGCTGGGGTCCTCAGGGTGCCTGTTCTCTTCTGCTGGCTCTGCTGAACCTCCTTTGGGGTGTGCTTTTGACTTTGGTCCCTTCTGGTTCCTGCAAACACATGGAGAAGGGGGCAGTCTCAAAACAGGTTCCAGAGACAGTCCTGACACCCCCTATTCCTCAAGAGCCCCTGGAAGGCTGATAACAGGCATGGGTCAGAGCTCTGGGCAGAATCTGATGGCCAGCTGGACAGGTCCACCTTGGCTCAGGCTGGTCAGTCCGTCTGTGAAGCAGGGGTTCCCAGTGCCCTTTCCTTCAGCTCTCAAAGCAGCCAGCCTATCAAGGCCTGGGAACAGCTGCTAGCTGCCAGGGAAAAGGAGCGGAGGAGGCGCAGCCCGTGAACAACTCACCCCTTGGCAGGAATCTTAGGGGGCGAGGAGCCCAGGAGGCAGGGCTTGGAGTCCATGCCATATTCAGCACCCTGCTCTGCCACTTCCCAAAGCTCCAGGCTTCATGTTCCTTATTTTTTAAAGTAGGCTCCTGGTTCCTGCTCTGGGCAAGGCTGCTCCAGGCTAACTAGTCTGGGCCCTGCACCGTCAGCTGAGACTGCCAGGCAGTCTCAATCTACCTCAGAACCTAGAAGGAAAAGAATTACTCTGCTTGCATTGCAGAGGAAGATGAGGTTCAGAGAGCATGACATGGCAGGTTGTGCAGGAAAGGGTCATGCCAGGGCCAATCATAGGTGAAAGATGGGAGGCAGCAGCAGCAGCAGCAGCTCTATTGGGAGGTGGGGCTCAGGCCAGATAGCCACAGGGTGGCATTTCTGGAGAGTTTCCACCAGGTTCAAAGGCCATACTCTCTCCACACCCTAGGAAGCTCTCCTGGCCATGCCTGGTTCTGAGCCACTACAAGCAGGAAGAGGCTGCCCGTGGGCATCCTAAGGCTCCCTGGTTCTTACCTCTCCTGCCCTGGTACAGGCGGCCCAGAGAGTCCCAGAGTCCTGCGAATGTACTCTCGAGAGCGGATGTCAGCCTGGAGGAAACAGTGCAAGTTGGAAGTGGACACGTGGTTGGCTCTTAAACAGACTGGGAAATGTCTCCACACCCTTCATAGAAGCCCACCTGGGTCCCTAGTGCCCATAGCTCCACTGATATGAGTGGTTGACAGAGATGCTAAGACCTTAGGGGGTACAGACCTGGCACTGAGGTTAGTGACTGGTTGGGCTGCTTGGTTTCCTTTGTCCTCACAGCTCCTCCTTTCGGGGAGTTCTGCTCTGTGGAGGGTAAGCTCAAGCTTGCCAGTCTGCCCCCACTTGGGGGTCACTGTCTGACTCATAAATTCCACAAACTTGAGAAAAAAGGGCTCACAGGCCACAGATGGGGACTAGGACAGATCCTGTGGAGGGCATAGAATGGGGTCACACTGACTGTGACATCGCTAACCGGCCTGGCCTCAGGAAGCCCCCTGATCCCAGCTCAGATGGGTTTAGCTTAGCTTCAGGCTTCATGAAGTTAACACATTGACAGCAACAGCTAATCCCCAGACGGCTTCTGATGCAGCTCATGGGGCTGTGGGCGGACAAGCATAAGGGTACTCTGGGAGCAGCAACCCAGCCCGGCAAGAGCGCCTGCACCTTGCACAGGGAGTGCAGCAGTACTTGTGACCAAGGGGTCCCTTGGAAGCCAGTGCTGTGCCAGAGCAGAGGGTAGGGAGGCCAGAAATGCCTCATTGTGAGAGGGTACAGACCTTAGCCCCATCTCTCCCATTCTCTGGGAACTTCTTAATGTGCAGCAGGGAGGGTCAGTGCTGAGGTGAGTGGGCCCAGTATGAAAGCGGACCAAGCTGCCAGGGCTGCATCCCTTCCCCTGCAGACATAAGTGGGCTCTGGCAGCATGCATCCCACGCCTGCTGGCATTTCTGCAGAGTGTGGGCAGGACTTGGAAGGCTCTTCTCCAGCACCAGACATATGACTCTGCTCCATGTCTAGGTGCTCATCCAGCCGGCCCCTCCCCTGCAAGGTCAAGGGACCAGTGTCCTGTGGGTTTAGGACAGTGCAACCCAGGGTTGCTGGGCCCCAGGGTCTCGGGGGTTTTATCATTAGACCATGGGAGAGGAAATGAAACAAGGGCCTCCTGGAGCTGGGGACACAACTTACAGGTTTGGGAGCCCATGTGCCTATGGGCCAGCACCAACCTGAGCAGGGAGGAGACTTGTGGGGGCCGTTGGTAGGTGCCTAAAAGCTGCTCAGAAGCCACTTCTGGGCACTGCCACTCTATGGTTGCAAGCATTGCAGCGGCATGTGGGCTGCTGCCGCCACCTGGAGACCATTCTGCATACCTGCACAGGGGAGGTAGGATGGAAGTGGTGGCAGCCACAGTCAAGAGTTTATGAGCAGCTGGGCCTGAAGCTGAGACTGAGGGCAGGTTTCTAAGTTGAGTTTAACCTATGGCCCTCTGTGGGTGGCTATGGGGTCAGAGTGGGCCAGGGAAGAGGCAGGCAACAGGGAGGCTTGGGACCCCCTGGCCCAATACCCAGCATACCCAGAGGGCTCCTGGCTGGGCTACAACTTCCCAAGACTCAACTGCTTCTGTGGCACACAAGCACATCTGGGTGTCTCGCTGCTCTTACACAGCCCTCTGCTGTCCCTGTCCCTGCAGGGAGGATTGGGACACAAACTGACCCCTACCCATTCCACACCTCCTGCCTTGGCATAGTGTCCCAAGTGCCTCAAACCCTTCCCTATCCGAGGGCCTGACAAATGCTGTTCCAGTCTGGACTCCCTTTGTTCCTCTTCCTGGGGATGGCTTCTTCTAGAACCCTGACTGATGTGCTGCTTGGGGACATGCACCAGCACATGACTGGGGGCTCTCCTCACAACCAAGTAGAAGACAGTGGTCCTGGATCCCACGTGCTCAGCTCTAGCTCCCTTGCCTGAAGGCTACATTCCTTCTCCACTGAGCTGACTGGTTCATCAAAGTGCTGGTCCCCTGGGTCCTGAGCACTACACCCAGGAGACCTGACTGGGGCGCCTGGTGCCAGCGCAAGCCTTGTTCAGCACTACTCCTACAAATGCCTCCCCTCTGGGTAGGGGAGCTAAGTGGTGATTGCACTCCCCTGCAACCAGAGCTGACGTCAACTGGTTCTCCCCATAAGCTGGGACCTGGGCATAGCAGGCTCAGTGAGGCAGAGTGTAGGGCATGGTGGACTTGGGCCAGGCAGCCTCAGGAAGAACAGTGCAGCCCCTATTCCCTTACCCCTACCTCCAGGGCCAGGGGAGGCCACCTGGCCCCCCTATAAGGAGCCTGAAGACCTGCCCTCAGCCCAGGATCATCCTGACCTCACATCACTATTCCATAATCCCATGGGAGCTGACAGGCAGCACGTGACAATCAGGTGGCAAGGAGCATAGAGATGATCATGCCAGTCCCCAAACCTGCCACCCACCCACAGGTGGCCCCATCACCTGGCGCACTGGCTCAGGAATCCGGAACCTGCAGCAGCAATGGGTCAGGCGCACGGCTGCCTCCAGGCTTATCTTGTGGCCCACAGAAATGTACAAGGGCTTGGTGCTGTGGTCGTGGCTTTTCAGGGCCTGCAGGACAGAAGGCGAGGTCAGAGTGCCATGGGGACACATCCCCCTGGGGTCAGGACCAGCTTTGGGCTGGAGGCTCTGATAACATCTCAGGTGACAAGCAGCAGTTTGGGGTTTGTGGGGTGTGTGGGGTGCTCTAGCCCCCAGGTACCTCTCTGCTCTCTCTCCTGGGCAAGGTGTGATAAGTGTGGCTGAGGTCCCTCCACTTCATTGGGGTTAGAGGAGGTTATAAACACACACGTCACATCACCTCCCTGTCTAGTGAGAGGAGCAGGAAGAAATTGAGTGGGTCTTGCATACAAGTGCGAGTGCATGTGCAGGGGTTCACTGCCCAGCTGTTCTTCTTCTCTGAGCTGGAGCCTGAGGATGACAGAGGCCTCAAGCCACTCACCATTCCGAGGACAGTCCCAGAGCCACCCATCAGAGGAAATGTATCTCCCCCTGCATGCAGGAGCTGAATCTGGAAAACAGAAGAAAAAGTTGTAAGAAATGTCTTCTAAGGCTGAGGCATAGTTCAGTGATAGATATTTGCCCAGCATGAGCAATGCCCTGGGTTTGATTCTCAGTACTGCAAAATCCAAAACCCAAAACTACAAGTCTGTGAGCCTAGTCTACGTGCCTAGAAGGCACACCTCTTCATTCTTAAAACCTACTCACAAGCCAGTCTTAGGTGGCAGCTGTGCCAGCAAGGCCACGGCCCCAAGGCAGTACTGAAAACGCTGGGTAGCAGCATGGTCAGGGCTTGTGTTAGGGGAACTGCCTACAGGACACCATCTAACCTGATGACAAAGGCTCAGGGCAGGCGCAGCAGCTCTCCCAGTGCCACAGCACAGGCCAGCTGAGGTGAGCCATGGACCCATAGGTGGTGCCCAGGAAAGCACACCTTGAGCAGGGTTACACCTCATTGTTGTTTCCTCTCCTAGGAATCTGAGCACACCCCAGTGAAACCAATACACTTTCTTTTTGAGTGGGTGGAGTGGGTCAGGGCTGAATCAGCAGATGGGGACCATATCAACTCAACATTTACTGAGTAACTGCTCCATGGAGAGACAATCTCTGCTCTGGGGATTTGCTGTCTACTAGGAGAGTGGGGATGTCACCAGCTCCCTTTGGATGGGGACATCACACCCCCAGGGATCTCTGAGGAGAAGAAAGAGTGTGGACAGCAGCTCTGGGCAGACCTCAGCCAGAATGGGCATCCAGAGGGCAGAAGGTCCTGCAAGCATGGCCCAGAGGCTAGGCTTTGTCAGATCTCTTGGGGAGACAGGCAGCTGGTGGAAGTGGAGGGGCATGGAAGCCTGTCCTACCCCTGGGGACTGGAGGATTAATCCTACACATTTACTACAGCAGCACAGAGGAAAGGCAAGTACGGTACAGAGGTTTGGAGGGCCTGGCTCAGGGCCATGTGGACAGGAAGTTCCCAGACAGAAGCAGGTCTCCCTGTTTCAGACCAGGATCCCAGGATATGGTGTGTGAGTAGGTAGGCTAGGCAAAGATGCCCTACAACAGTGATGGAGAACCTGTCAGAGCTTTCAGTGTTGTCAGCTGTGGCACCTGTGCCACAAATTTGCCACTGTCCTAGGTGACCAATGCCTCAGATCCCCCCAGGGCCCATCACTGCCCATGGGTCCCCTTACCTTCTCCTTGTGCGCAGCATTGTTTTCCAGTCCCTCCACCTGTAGGAGTTTCTTGGCCACCCCAATGCAAGGCAGCCCTGTGAGGACACCAAGGTGGCAGGCTATCCCAAAGCCTTCCAGAAAGCAGAGAACAAGCTCAGGTGGTGCAGTCAAACTGGAACCTTGCCACCTACAGACTGGCATAATACTGGGGAAGCAGACTTGGAGGCCCAAGCTGACCTTGGACAAGATCCTGTCTACCCTGATTTTGCCACTGCTCTAGGGCCATAACCTTTGAGACGAGCAGCTGGGACCCAAACATACCTACTGCTAGGAAGGCCAATACTTCCCCTGGACAGCCTTCCGAGGGCCACATTTTGGATAAGAGTAAAACTGCTACCAACTTCAGCATCCTCCCTGGGCCAACGTCCAGGCACTGGTGGAAAGCAGGGCTCCAGAGCACAGGGTATGCAGTGGGGTGGGAACCCTGAGACTTCTGACAGCTATAAGGTCAACACTGGATGGTGGCGCCTCTAGATGGGCCAGTATAGGCTATCTTGGGGAAGGAACAGGAAGATGTGGGGGTGAAGAGAAGGCAGAGCTCTCTTCTGGGTGAGGGACACTGCGTCCTGACAGCAAAAGTCAGCCCAAGGGCCGGGGAGATGGCTCAGTGGATTAAGCGCTTCCCTGGCAAGAGCAAGGGCCTAAACTAAATCCCTGGTTCTGGAAAAAAAAAAGAAAAGAAAAGAAAAGAAAAGAAAAGAAAAGAAAAGAAAAGAAAAGAAAAGAAAAGAAAAATAGAAAAAAAGAAAGAAAGAAAGTCAGCCAGCCCACCCAGACGGGAGCCGTGATGGAGCTTAGTGTGGTAGACATGGGAGGTGCCCTCTCCCATCTTTGCCAGAGCACCCTCCCCAATACTCTCTCTGGGGAGCAGGATTACCTTGGTGATGGAGCACCCCGTTTCCATCCACAAGAAGGACCTAGAGCCACAGGGGTAGTGTCAGTTTGAGGTGGCTGACCTAGCAAGTGGGGGTGGGGGTGGGTAGACACTGCCACTGGGATGCAGCTTTTTAGAAAATCTTACTCTTGTCAGGCCATGGGTCATGAGGCCTTTCCCTCCCACAGGAACTGAATGGCTCTCTTCCCCAAGGACATGGCACCTGCCTGGGGCATGAGGTTTGGCTCCTTCTCTTGCAGCCGATGGACAGCGTCTACTAGGAAAGGCATCTCTCGGAAGGCCAGGAAGCCTGATATGTAGGGGGCCGTCAGGCTGATCATACGGCTGTCCTCATACACCACCTGCCACCAGGCATGCAGGTCAGCAGGCAGCCACCTGCTCCCCTCCACCCTATTACCCTCTGTCCCACTCATATTCTACTTTTCTGGCTATCAACTACTAGGTGGGGGAGTGTCTCACCTTGATGTCATTTCTAAGGTGCTCCCCACCTGGTCTGTCTCAGCTGTTGAGCTAGCCTCCCCCAGACCATGGGTCTCCTCATTGGACCCTGTACAGGCTGCTGGAGGCTCAGAGCACAGCACAGGACAGTACTGGTGTGAAGAACACCAGGAGCCAAGGCAGCACTGCACGTGCACTAGAAAAGCCTGGAGGGGGCCAAGGATGCAGAGGCTGTAGCAACAGCTTTATGAGAAGGAATTTCAGGTCATTTAGGAGAAAAGGGCAGGAGGAACTGGACAATCTGAGAGTGTAGAAAGAAAAACTCTGAGGCTGCAACTGACTTCAGAGTGTAAAGGGAGCCCCAGGACAGCAGACAAGCCTTATATGAGGTGTAAGGACGCATGGAGGACACAAGGCCACAGATGGACAGGGGCTTTCTACAACGGCTAGGGACAACTCAGAGTGATGTGACGTGATTTTGTTTTGTGGTAGTAGAGATTAAACCCAGAGCTTTTGCAATGATTATATTCCCAGCCCCACCCCCTTTTTTTTTCTTTGATAGGGTCTCCTTAAGTTGGTCAGGCTAGGCTCAAACTTCCAATTCTCCTGCCTCAGCCTCCCAGAGTTCTGGGGTTACAGATATGTGTGACCACACCAAGCTAAGAAAGCTTGGAGAATACATGCAACTCTCTGAGGGCTTTTCGGGCAGAGTCAAGACAGACCAAAATGCAGAAGGACTCTGCTTAGTGCACCTGAGGGCAGTGAGCATCCTCCCGTGTTTCTGTCAATCTCATGGCCCAGGGAGGAGGCAGTTTCCTATGCATACACATTCTCCAGAACCCCCTTCCTTCCTGCATTTCTGCTACTGAATCTGCTAAATCTCTTGGTGACAGCTTCCAAATCACAATTTTCATTCCTTTGAGGCTGGAGCAGTAAATTAATGTACCTAGGTCTGTGTTAGCACAGAGGACTGGGGTTTGTCCTCAACATTTTAATGAACAATGAACTCAATAGGAAACTTTTTTTTTTCTTTTTCTTTTAAAAATATATTTAGTACAGGGTCTACAGGGTCTCACTACACAGCCTGGAACAAGATGACCTCACAAGGACATGTGTGGAATCTAAGTGTAGCCTATAACCCCATAGTATGATGGTGGCTGACTATAACAGAATTCTGCCACATAACTCCCAAAAGTGGAGAGAAAAAGGGAAAGGACCCACCTTCAATATCCCATGGTCACGACAAAAGGAGAAAACTGTTGAGTGGTAGAGAAGCAAAAGTAGGGGTTGGAGGGCACTTTATTGACTCTAAGTACACAGAGAGAATCTAAGGGACATAAGGAGCAGATTGGGGGCTCCTGTGTTGCATGGGAAAGGCATCCAGGACTGGGTTGGGAAGAAAAACGAAGTGGTCATTGGGAGGATGAACTGTTTTTTTTTTTAGGATTCAGCCATGTTGAATCAGGGCCATGGTAATTTAGCAGTTTGTACTCAGGCCAAAACCTATCACTGACGAACATCACTACACATCTCTGTGGGGAAGAAAGAGCACAGGCTGCAGAGCACCTTAGATAGCATGCTGGGAGGAGGATGGTAGGGGATGTTGATGGGGTCCTGATGAAAGTCACCTCAGAAAGAAGGACTAAATGACAAAAGGACCAAAGAAGAGTGATTCAGGTGATAGTTCAGCAAGAGCCACTGAAGGGAGAAATGAAGCAAACAAGTGAAAGAAAGCAAAGTGTTAAAAGAGGTTAAAGGACACAGTTAAAAAGAATGAAAAGTGGCCAAAGAAAATCCAACACCACAGGACTGAAGGAGAGAAGCAGAACTATGGAGCCTACCTAACAGGTCAGTGTTTAAAACCATACTCCAAACTACAGGGTGGTGGCATACAACTGTAATCTCAGCATCCTGGGAGGCTAAGGCAGAAGAACCATGAGATTGAGCCCTGGCTGGGCAACCTGGAAAGACCCTGTCTCAGAAAATAAAGTAAAATAAAACAAAACTAATCTGCAAATGTAGTTCAGTGCAAAGGCCCTGAGTTTAGTTCCCCCAGTAATTCTACAAGCACTCCCCCTCCCCACAAAAAAAAAAAAAACCCAAGAAATTATAATCTAAGAAACACTTCAAAAACAAAAGTACATGGGGGGCTGGTGAGATGGCTCAGTAGTCTAAAGCACCTACTTAGAACAAACTAAGCCAATCAAAGTACAGGGACCGCCGTTCAATCCCCCAGCACCACATGCCAGCCAGCCCTGCCCCCTGGTGGGCTGAGCAGGCCACACACACAAAATAAATAAATAAATAAATAAATAAAAAACAGACAACTGTTTTAAAAAATTTAAAAAAAAAAAGTACATGGGGCTGGCGAGATGGCTCAGTGGTCTAAAGCACCTACTTGGAACAAGCTTGGCAAAGCACAGGGACCGCGGTTTGATCCCCCAGCACCACATGCCAGCCAGCCCCACCCCCTGGTGGGCTGAGCTGGCCAAACACACACACACACACACACACACACACACACACACACACACACTGGGAAAAAAAAAAGTACAGGGCCAGTGAGATAGCTCAGTGGACTAAGCTTGCAGGGACTGGAATTTAATCTCTGGTACCACATGCTGCGCCTGCCACCCAGACTGAACCAGGCATGATGGCTCATGCCTGTAATACCAGTGCAGGGGAGGCTGAAAACAGGATTCCAAGCTGTGTAGTGAGACCCTGTAACAAATACATTTTTTTAAAAAAAGTACATTTGACCCCACATACTGAAGAGTCAACTGTGAGCTAGAAAACTGAACTGAACAGAAGAGAAGTTACTTTGAGATACATGGTGGTGAGGAAAAAAAAAGAGTAAAAGAAACAGAAGACCAAAAAAATCCCACAGTAAATATAATACACTTGTTACAACCTTGAATAGGGAACATAAATGTTAAAAATTTATAGATCAGAAAACAAAATGAAACCAGCTTTTAGATTCATAATGGGGACAAGTAAGTAATGAGACTATGTCCAGATTCCAGTAATGCTATAGGATTGTTGTGATTTTTCATACTGTGATAATGTTCCTACAGTTACATAAGATGTTATGTGCAAGGTGGACTGAGACAAACTGCCACAACCTCTAGGACATGTTCTCAAGTCCTCAGTAAACACATACAAAAATCACGACATAATCAGCAACAGCTGAATCTAAATAAGAGCATATGGATGCATTTGATGTATTCTTTTCCAATTATTCAGTATGGTTGTATACTGTCAAACTAAAAACCTGGGAAAAGAAAAATCAGTCACACAATTGCATGTGGGCAAGAGGTGGATGGTGGCAGATGTAGTAAACAGAGGGTGGGAGACAGATGAGGGTGGGTGACTGAGTCTGTAGCCAGGGAGAGCTGGTGAGAGGAACAATACTGCTGCCTGCTCTCCACACATGACCTGTTATTCCTTTCATAACTCTTCAAACTGAGCATTAATATCATCTCCCTGAGAGAAAAGAAATCAGGGGCCAAGAGCCACAGGGAATGGCAGAGCTGGGGTACAAACAGAAACAGTCTGGCATTGGCGTCTGTGCTTTTACCCCATGCACTGTCATACATAATGATCAGGAACCTGTGAGGACAGAGGCCTTGGTGTCCTCACTACAGATCTGGATCCTAGCACACAGTGGGTACTCAATACTTCTGTGCTGACTGGGACTAAAAGGGGCCTTCTGAGTAAAGCACAAAGCCAAAGAAGCAGGAAGATGTTGCTGGGGGCAAGTACAGGAGCAGCGCTAAAGTTGGGGTGTAGCCAAGGCTTCCTGAACCAGGGACTGCCAACAAAGCACAGGCTTACTGCTCATTCCTGTAGGCCATCTAATGAGGAAGGCTCTTGAGTGTCTGCTGGTTGGTGAGCTAAGTGCTATGGCCACCTCCAGCGGCAACACGACCTGGTTCTTGCTAGAGTTTACCTTCTGGGAGGGGAAAGTGGCCCATTTCATTCCACTGTGACAAACAGGAAGCTCAGAGTTGGTTATGATCTGAATGTTGTCCCCCCAGTCCATATGATGAAGTTCAAACCCACACAGTAAAGGCAGTAAGAGGAGACACCTTTGGGAGATGACTATATCACCATGAGGGAACAGGAGAAGACAGCTATCTATACCTTGGAAGAGAGTCCCAACCCAGGCCTGGTCATGCTGTATCCTGAAGTCAGACTTCTAGACTCTGGACTCTAAGAAATACATTTCTGTTGTTTATAAACCACCCTGTCTGAGGCATTTTGCTGTAGTAGTCTGCATGGACTAAGATGGGGTGCTGAGGAGTAACTCCTGATCTTGCAGGATGAAGGGGATGACTGAAGGAAGTACTGTGTAAAACTGGACCCTGAGAGGGGGGTCAGAGCTCAACAGGAAAGGAAGCAGACTGCAAAGATTATGCAGCTTGATGCAGCATGGCATGTCTGAAGGAGTCAAAGCCATCTGGAGGGCAGGGTGGGTTGAGGATGGTGTTGTGAGCCAAGCCCACAGGGTCCATCAACCAGTGTGAATTTTATTTACCATGACACCACAGGAAGGGCACTGATGTGTTTTCAAGGGACTCCTGGTGACATAACTGCATTTCCTTTTTAAGAAAACTGCCTTCCTAGCAGAAACCAAGGAGCAACACTTGAGGCAGGGAGTCCAGGAAAACATATCTACAGGAAGCGTGATAGCAGCACAGATAGTGAAGGAGGTGAGAGGAGGTGGACAAGGGGAGTTCCGCAAGATGTAAGTGGCAGAAACAATGGAGGCAAGGTGATGGGTATAAGCGAGAGGGAGAGAATTCCCTATCTTTCCCTGTTTTTCTTCCCCTTTGAAAGACTCCTCAGTCTGTCAATGAAATTCTATAAAAAGAGAGCTATGGACTTATAGCAGTGGAATGCTTGCAGAGTAAGTGGAAAGTCCTGGGCTCCATCCTCAGCACTGAGAATAAAGTAAAATATGAAAATTCTGTAAGAGGAGAGGCTGGCCTCTACCCTGAGTTGGTCTCCTGTCTGGCAGCTCTGTTCTCTCTGCTGAAGCGACACGTGGCTCAGCGTCCTCCACGTTACCTCGAGCTCGGGGTATGTGAGCACCACCAGGGAAGCACAGGCACTGACACTGTCCCCTTTCACGAAGGACACATCAACGCCTCCAACCCTCTGCAGACCAGAGAAAGCGGGGTCCCGCTGCCAGGCCTCCGTGTCCCGGTCCACCAGGAGGGCCTTCAGCCGGGCTTGCTCCCTAGGAGGACAGAAAGGTCAAAGCTGGCCCGGGGCCCCAGGCTAGACCCTCCCACCTCGACCCCAGAGACCGCAGCGCCAGCTCGAGGGGCGCGCTCTCCTTGTAGCGTCCTCCTTCGTGTCATAACAAAGTGAGTCTTGCCAGGATTAGTTTCCTTAATGGGAAAGGTAAGGGACGCGCGGGTCAACCCACAGCCCTAGGAAGCGAGAGAGGGGCGCGGGGCCAAGCGCGGAAGCGAGGGTGGCGGACTACAACACCCGGAGGCCTCTGGCCCGCGCCGGAAGCCAGGCCCGCCCGACTCCGGTGGCCCGAGCGCCGGGCCCGCGCCTTCACAGCCGGGGCTACGAGGTCAGCGGGTCCGCAGAGAGAAGCCAAGTCCTAAGCCCTGGCAGCTTCGCTCACTCGCATTACCGTTTCCAAAGCGACAAAGTCTCCTCAGACAGATGCCCCGCGGCCTCCAGGGCCATGACTCGTCCCTCGGCGCACTTCCGGCAACGTCATTTCCGGAGCGCCGGAGGGCGTCCCCCGCCCCTGCGTAGTACTCGCAGCGATCAGCTGCTGACTGTGGCGCCGCCGCCGCCGCCAGGGGCCGCTTTGCAGCGACCTAGGGTTTGCGCCCGAATCCGCGGGTTCTCGTGGACTGGCTGGAAGCCCGGGTAGACCGCCCGCCCACGTATCCAGCTTCGAGTTGCCCACGTACGATTCTTTCGTGCCGCGGTGGCTTGGCGGTTCCCCGGTTGTCCCAGCATTAGCGCTGTGCCCGCACCGAAGGATGCCGCTCTGCTTTTAGGCAAGGGTGGACCAGTTCAACTCCGGAACCACTCGCCAGGGGCGTCACAGCCCCAGCAGCAAGCTCACAATACCTTTCGAGCCCTGCCAGGGACGCGGCCCTGGGTGGCGGCACTTCAGTGACTGTGGAAGGGGCTTTGCTCCCTGTTCAGTCCCGCGCTGCGTTGGGCGCAGTTGAACGCACAGGGGTTGCATCTTGTTGGGCAAAGAGCCTCACTCAGCAAAGAAAATATGGCCCACCACCTTTGGGACGTTGTTTTTTGAGACAAGATTTCGCTATGTAGTCCACGTTGGCCTCAAACTTGGGAGTGATCCTCCTGTCTCAGCCTCCTACTGTGCCTTACATTGATTCTTACCCAGGGCTCCTCAGTTTTGTGAATATTTACTCAGTATGTCTCTGCACCAGGATTTATGCTATATGCTGGAGTTATGGCTTACACTTTTTTTGCCTCATCTGGGGCAGGAAGACTTGTGAATATGTGATGTAATAGTAATGAGTACTATGAATGAAAATAAATGAGAGGAGCAGATTTAGAACTGGTGTTTGGGAAGGGGCCTTCTGAGGAAGTGATGTTTAGAGCCAAAGGGCCTAAAGGGGTGAGTTGCATTGCATGCCAGAGGGAGGAGCAGAATTTTATTTATTGGATATAGGGTCTCACTACACAGTTCAGACTCCTAGTGATCCTCTTATCTCAGTCTCCCTAGCGCTGGGATTACAGGAGTGCGCCTGTTTAGGGGCCAGTGTGGCACGCCTGGGTTCTGGACCGGCAAGCATGTGGTACTGGTGATCAAACCTGGGCCCTTGCGCTTGTCAGGCAGGGGCTTAGAGCACTGAGCCATCTCCCCAGCCCAGAGGTTGGTGTATTTGAGCAGCCAGTGAGCTAAAGTGAGTTTTGCTGGTGGCTTATATTTTAACTAGCAGAATTCAGTAAAGTACATATATTGTGAATAATAGTGTGTTCCAATGTAGGCTTTAAAAGAAAAACTGAGATTAGAGTTTAAAGTTCTATAGGAGAGACCAATTTGCCTAACTGTTGAAAGCTGGGCAAGTTCTCAGCTGAGGAAGAGAGCCTCATTTCTTGAGCATACACCGTGGCCAGACACTGTGCTGTTTTTTGCCTACTTTATCTTATTTTTTAAAAATTAATTATTTATTTTTGTGTGTGTGGCCAGCTCAGCCCACCAGGGGGCGGGGCTGGCTGGCATGTGGTGCTGGGGGATTGAACCGCGGTTCCTGTGCTTTGCTAAGCTTGTTCTAAGTAGGTGCTTTAGACCACTGAGCCATCTCACCAGCCCCTTTGTCTTATTTCTTAAATAAAACTGGGAAGTATCTTAAAGCAGAGGAAATTGAGGCTTAATGCTTGCCCCAGATCAAGGAGCTGGCAAACAGGAGAACCAACATCTCTGAGCAGCTACATGTAGGCTGTTGCTACAGAGCTGTCAGGATGAAGGGGACACGATTTAGTAATTGCAAGCCATTTGATAAGCCTGCGAAATGGGCACAGGTAGTGGAGCCTGAGGAAGGTGCTGTTCTGGGTGAGGTCCTCTTGTGCTCCAGGTATAGCTATCAATCTGGAAGGAACAGGTTTGCACATGGGGAGGGTATCCAAAGTGTGTATGTGTGGCTACTGCATGTGCTGTGCCCCTGCCATTCTTGCCCCAGATCACTGAAACTCCTGCTTCAAAAGGAAGCACGATCACTGTCCCCAGGAAACCCTTCAGAGAAGGTATGTTTTGTCAGCATTTGCTCAGGAAAAAGTGTTGTCCTGGTCATTGTTTTGCCAACTAGACAAGAATGCTTGAGTATCAGTGAGTTTGAAAGGAATAGAACAAGGCAGAATGTGACACAAATGCTAATCATGGTGAACTTGAATTCTGCTACTCAGCAAGGCCATAGGCCTCTCCTGCCTCTTGGAGCCTACTGTCCAGGCGCAGCCGATAATAGTGTTTCCTGTATCTCATCAGGGTTGCTTCCCATGCTGGTGCAGCTAGTGCCCCCAAGTAGGCCTTCTGTTTGTGGATTCTTTCAGTACAGAAGAGTCTGGAGGCCAATCACTGTGGAGAAACCAACTGCTGTCCCTTCCTGGGGTTGCCTATAGGACCCCCCTCCCCCAGCTCTGTTTCTTTTTTTTTTTTTTTTAAAGTTTTTTTATTGTGTGTGTGTGTGTGTGTGTGTGTGTGTGTGGCCAGCTCAGCCCACCAGGGGGCGGGGCTGGCTGGCATGTGGTGCTGGGGGATTGAACCGCGGTCCCTGTGCTTTGCTAAGCTTGTTCTAAGTAGGTGCTTCAGACCACTGAGCCATCTCACCAGCCCCTCTGTTTCTTTTCTACAGTAAATTTCGTTAAAATTTCTGCCTGTAAATTCATGTCTCTTCTAATTTCCTTTTTATTTATTTATGTGTGTGTGTGTGTGGCCAGCTCAGCCCACCAGGGGGCGGGCCGTCTGGCATGTGGTGCTGGGGGATTGAACCGCGGTCCCTGGGCTCTGCTAAGCTTGTTGTAAGTAGGTGCTTTAGACCACTGAGCCATCTCACCAGCCCCTCTTCTAATTTCCATATCAGAGACGCAAAGATCCATGCCAGCCAGTGACTTGAGGACCCTCCCTGAGGCTGAAGCTTAAGCTGAGAGTGGCTGGAGGGAACAGTGCCACTGTGAAGGAGCATTTCTGCTGTCCCTGTGTCCTGGAGGAGTTTTCTGCTCTTGTTGAAATCACAGTGTAGGTTTCTCTTCTGCACCCTCCACTTCATAGTCACTTCTGTGAGGATGTTAGCACAAAAAATCCAAAACTTCCTGAGGTCTGGCTGAGGTACAGGTGCCGTAAATAGAAGCTCTGCCCCCCAAAAGGATTTGTTAGTAGCGAAACTCAAGTTTATTAAAGTAGGTATGACAAGTATAGCGAAATCTACTTTTTCTGTGCTAGACCAGTGTATTTTTATACAAACAAGATAACGTGAGATATGACAGTCAACGCTTCGAAAACATAGCATATACAAAATTAAGCATCTTAATTAAAAGTCCTTCATAACAAAAACAACAAAATGCCCTGGCCAAAGGAGCAAAAGTTTTCACAGCAAAAGACTAGCAACTGATACCTCCCTGATGAGGTGGGGAGCCTCAAAGGCCCTCTCCACTCCCAGCAGAGATGTCCCAGAGCAGGCAGGGGTAGGGTGGGGTGGGGAGTAGCTCTGCCTAGTCAGGAATCACAGGTCCCCTGCCCCTGCCATGAGGTGCTCTCATTGTCCTGATATCAAGTTGATTGAGTGTGTGCCTCACTGAGTGAGAATGGTGTCAGGGACACAGCCTCCACTTTGTAAACAGCTGCTCTGATGTCACTGCAGACGGCGCTGGGCTGCAGAACAGGAATCAGTCCCAGGAAGTTGAAGGTGTCAAAGTAGATTTTTTCAGGGGTGGGAATCCATAACAAAAAAAACAGCACAAGATCAGGGTAAGACATTTTCTTATTCCCCTTTTTGGAAACTGAACTGGTTTTGTACCATATCTCGGTTTTTATGCGTTGGCTGAGACTCCAAAGATGGACTAGATATTCATATACTTAGGGGGAGCAGAGATTCCACAAAGAATGGACTTTTTTGGCATAATGCTAGACAATCAAAAACTCCCCAGAGAGTGGCCAGAAGCATGCCTCTAGCCCAAGTTTATATGAATAAATTTCCATTTAGAATCTCAAGAGTTGGGTGTGTGACATACATCTATAATCAGGAGGCTGAGGCAGGAAAATCGCCACAAATTAGAATCTCAAGAGAAATGGAAGGGGCTTTGGCTGTGAATCCACTCTGTTCATTGGGGAACTGAGACCATAAAAGTCCCCAACTCAGCCAAGTGCTTTTCACAGTTTTGGCCTTGACCCTCTGAAATACGGCAGTGACTTATACAGGATCTGGGTCAGCTCTTGTTCATGTGGGTTAAGGCATGGACAGGTGCCTGTCCTTTGGCATTCCTTATGTTATAAGAAGGTGAAGAGTATGACCCTTCTGTACATTTTGGAAGCCAAGAAATACATGTATAATACTCAGTATTTAAGGGGCTGGGAAAAAGGAGAAAACCAGATTCTCTTCTGAGAATGTGGAACAGAGCAGAAAAAAGGGGAAAATTATTTCCCCTGCATTTTCCACGGTAATGGAGAAGGAAGGAGCCTGAGACAGGCCGTGACTGGCTGTGACCATTACTTTGACACTACTTGTCTCTCCTGGGAAGCACAGGTGGGGTTTGACTTCCAAATTCACAGAAGTGCAGCCCTTAACTGGAAATGAACTGTGTTCACAGTACAGTGAGAAAGTTCTGGAATGCAGAAACAGGGCAGCTCCCACGGTGCTGTGTGGAACAGTGCAGGCAGACTTGAGTTCAGCGCTGCACCACTTTTCTCTCAAGTGCTCACAGAAGCAACAGTTGGTGCGAATCCTGGCAGCAAAAGGCGGCGTCATCTCTCCAGCTAGGTCCCAGGCGAGCGCTGAGGGAGTCAGTTGCTCTACTTTGCTTGCCGGTCCCGTTTCCGTGTGGCAGCAGTTTTCCACACAGAGACACAGCTGGACAGCAGTATCTCTTCTGGGAACTGGTATTCCAGATCTGGAGGGACTTCACTGTCTTTAGTTTCCATGTAACTTACCAGAGTTTCCTTCAGACTGCAAAACCAAGAACAAGAGACTATTTATAATATCAGGAGGCCTCCACAGGACCAGGTTCCAAACTAAGATCAGAAACTGAGGTCAGCTCCAGGTCCCAGTCCTGAGTTCTGAACTCCTGAACTGGACACTGGGGTAGAATCCTGGTCTCCAGCTTATGCCGGCCTTGTCGTTGCTCATGTCAGGTACTTGAACGTGATCTGTTTGCATGAGCAAGCTCTGCTATTCAAAAAACAGAAGCACGTATTCGCTTTTCCTATTTTCCATAAATAAAGATCACAAATTCTCTAGGAAGGGGAACTAATTTTACACTACAGGTTCAGGATAGTACAGTTGAAAGAATACAATGCATGTTGGCATAAGCTTCTGGCACAATGGAAGAAAAATAAACATGAAATAAATTGAGGTGGAAAATAGGAATTCAATTTTTTTTTTTTTTTTTTCGGAACCGGGGATTGAACTCAGGTCCTTGTGCTTGCCAGGGAAGTGCTTATTCCACTGAGCCATCTTCCCAGCCCCTAGGAATTCAATTATTTAGAAAAACAGTGAAGTTAAATCCTTCCCTCACAGTACACATGTAAGTAAACTGGGTAAAAAATATATAAATATGGATTTTTTTTTTTTTTGGACTGGCTCAGCCCACCCTGAGGGTGGCACAACATGTGGTGCTGGGGATTGAACTGTGATCTCCTGTGCCTGCCTAAGTGTGCCTAAGCAGCTGCTTTAGACTGCTGAGCTATCTCACTGGTCCCTAATATGGAATTTTAAAAGCAGCAAAACCAAAATGAAAACCATGGAAGGACATCTCTAACCGTGGGAAATGAGAAGGAAGACCTTAACTGATGTATTTTCCTAAGTGGCTTTATAGAAAAATTCTGTCAGCTTTGATTTCATAAATTTAAAGACTGAGATAAAGCATTTATAGTAACATATTAGATAAAAAGATTACTTTCTGTACAACACCAAGAGCTTTTCTAAATCATTAAGAAAAAGATAAAACAGTGGGGCACGGTGGTGTACATCTATAATCCCAGTACCTTGGGGAAGACTACCTTGAATATGAGGTCAGCCTGAATCACCTAGACACCCAGTTTGGGTGGCCAGGTGGGATGGGGGAGGGGTGGAAAAAGAAAAAAAATTAATTCAGAAGACAATAAACTAGTGGCTAGTAAAAATGAGCATGTGCCCAGCCATCCTAGTAAGTAGGGAAATTAAAGAGAGAGCCAGATTCCACTTTTTGTCTATCACACTGACACGGGTGTAAGTGGTGAGCACTTTGGGGTACTCTACAGTGTTGGCAATGCACATCTTTTTGATATAGAAAACCCCCTTGTAGGAATGTATGGCCCTCATAGAAGCCAGCCTTCAGGCGCTACACTAGTGCAGGAATAGCATGAAAGCACCCTGCAGGGAGACGGGCCTGACTGCATATTTGTGGAAGGGCTCGGCTGGAGAGGTGAGGGGCAGCCCCATCACCCTGCCTGGGCAGTGATGCGCATGTCCCTACCTCCAGGTGTGGTTGAAGGTGTCTCCAGCCTGAGTGGTCTTCAGCTTTAGCACCATCATTTCGTGGAGCTCCACAAGGAAGGTGTCTAGGCTGCTTTGGTTTAGGAAAGTGCCGAGGAGCTTGGCATGTTCTGGGCTGAGATCCTTTTTGTACCTTGCACTGATGTCCTGAAATGGTTCCTAAAATGCGGGATCAATAAGGGGCCATTAAAGGCTGGGAAGAGAGGGCTGAGCTCCCCCAAACGGGGAGGCAGAGGTCCCACTTACTTTCTTCAGGTGCAGCAGCTGTTCTGACTTATGTGCAGAGAGGAGCTGCCAGAGGGCAATGGCGTGTTTTAACTGACATCTGCTTAAGACCTGAAAAAGCAGCAGGAACCCTGGTGAGACGTGGAGGTCTTACGCTCTGTATCCCCATGTCTGGCACCCTCTTTATGCTCTGCATTCATTCCATGTCCCTTGTCCTGTGGCCATCTCTGAGCGTGCACAATGTACTGCAGCTGATCCCCTTATCACATGCGTGGTATGCTCTGCCCAGCTGGTCAGCGCTGGGTGTGTCTGTCTGTGCTGGCCAAAGTGGCTCTGTCTACACTGTGGACTGGCCAGGGGGCTTGTTTTTGGGCTCCCCCTTTTCCTGCATGCATTGCTGCTCCCTCCCCGCTGGATTTCTTGTGGGCAGCAGGAAATTCAGCTGAGGCTGCTGATCTCTCTGACCAGCCTCCACACAAGACCCACCTCTAAAACTGAAGTTGTCTGGTCGCCCATCCGCAAGACTTCTTGGATGTACGCATTCAGCTTCATGTCTGGGTCCCCGCCAGCTGTGCTCAGAAAGCCCAAGGCAACCTCTACGACAGAGAGGGCTTCACAGGCATCACTGTAGGACTGCAGCTGCCCACCAATGGTACCCATAACTGCACTCGGCAGGGCGATCTGGGAAACCAAACACAGGACAGCAAACATGGGTTGGGATTCTTGTTTCCTACTTCCTAGGAAAGGCTTAGCTCTGTCGCTGCCCAAACTACAGGTGGCATAAATTACACAGTGACAGTTGACATATGCTGCTAAGTGCAGCAGTGTTACAAAATTTTTTAACAAGGTATTTAACAAGAATACCTATGACCTCACTGAAGCCTCAAAACAATACTGTGTGGATACAGGGGAGAGTATTCCTCTTCCAATATCAATAGCAAAAGAGCAGGAATAAGTTAAGTTCTCTAGATCTTCTGACTTGGATATACTGAAACAACATTATTTACAAACCAACCATACAGAATGTCAGCGCATTATACTTGTTGTGGCTTGTGTCTGGATGTCCCCCTAAAGCCTCTTGTGATCATGGGGTGGAGGGACTTTTCAGATCTGCCTGGATCTACAGTGTATGGTGCTGGGCTCAAGCATGTGTGATTACTAAATTAGTCCACTGATTGGTTTGGCAGAATTCTGGGTGTAGGTGATGGGAGGGTCCATCCTGGGTGTGAGTGCTACCTGCCCTAAGAGTGGGTAGCCTGGATAGAATATAAGAGATTGAAAGAGGGCTGCTGCGGTGGCCTGCTTGTTGATTCCTTGTTACTTTGCTGCCTTTGGCCCACCATGAACTGTTTCTGCTCTGAGATGTCCCTCTGCCATGTGCCACCTTGCTTTAGAGCCAGCCAACTACAGACTGAGATGCTTACCAACTGCGAGTTGCAATAAACCTTTCCTTTTTCTTTTTTTTTTTATAGTAAAGTACAATTTTAATTTACATCAAAAATCATATCTAGGGCTGGTGAGATGGCTCAGTGGTCTAAAGCACCTACTTAGAACAAGCTTAGCAAAGCACAGGGAACACTGTTCGATCCCAGAACACCACATGCCAGCCAGCCCTGCCCCCTGGTGGGCTGAGCTGGTCATACACACACACACACACACACACACACACACACACACACACAAATAAACAAATTTTTTTTTTAAAAAAAATCATATCTAATTTGTAGTCCTTCATTCTGGATGATTTTCTCACAGATGTCCCTATCATTTTTTTTTTTTTAACCTTTCCTTCTTTAACTTGGCTATTTTGGTGTTGGCTATTTTGTCTCAGCAACAAGAAAAATAACTAAGACACAACTCAAATAAGAAAACAGTGGTCCACTGTCCTGCTTGCCCTCTGCAAAGAGCACTGTCAAGGAGGCCATCAGGGTCCTCAGAGAAACCAAGACCCTGGTGCCACAGATACCAGGGAGTGGCTGAAGCTCTGGAATGTGGATGGAACCATTCTGTAAGTGATAGGATTGTCATGACCACCTGTTTCATGTTCTTCTTGATGTCCATGAAGAGATGCTCATAGTTCCGGTCATGTCTGTGCACCAGGGTAGGGATCCCCTAAAGTGAGAAAGAAAAAGCATTTGGATACTACATCCATAGTGGAGGGTCCCATCAGATGACAGAGACATCTTGAACAGTAACTCAATGGGAGAGTCTCCCTGGGCAATGCACAAAGCTCTATCATCTCATGAAGTCTCTGTTTAAGTCACAATCCCTAGAAATAGTAATACAATAAGACTTTTTTTTTTTTTTGGCAGAACCAGAGATTGAACTCAGGCCCTTGCACTTGCCAGGGAAGTGCTTATTCTACTGAGCTATCTCCCCAGCCCAGTAGTACAATAAGAACCCAGCCCAGCCACACTGGCCCTGAAGAAATTACCACGGAGAATATATTGTATATGAGGATCACAGGAGGTGCTGGGGACAGAGATGGGATGATGTCACATTCATGTATCCATTCAGCAACTGCTGAGTAAGGACCACTTTACTAGACAACACAACTGACAGAACAAATTAACCTGCCTTTGCAGCCAGGTATGGTGGTGCATGCTTATAATCCCAGCACTCTAGGAGGCTGAGCAGGAGGATCACAAGTTCCAGTACAGCTGGAGAAGCTTAGCGAAACCCTGTCTCAAAGTTAAAAAAAAAAACAAAACGGTTGGGAAGCAATTGGGGATATAGCTCAATGAGAAGGCCCTGAGTTCAAAATCCCAGTTTAAAAAAGAAAGTTTTGGATGCAAGTAATTCACAGCCTAATTGTGGACAATGAGGAGTAAAACATCTAATTACAAAGTATCTGTCTGCACGCTGAAGAGACGCACATCCATGGTAGCAGGACTCAGCCTACCTTGATTGTCAGCTTGGGCTTGCCCTGTAGGAGGCGCCCAGTGATCTGCTGCTGGATCTTTTCCAGGTCAAACTCCTGTGAGGTCTCCCCACCTTGCACCACTTGATACTGGCAGTTGGACAGAATCAATGGAGTCAGGTCACGCTCCACGTCGTAACTGATGACATGCAGGTCAGTGATCTCGGAGGCATCCACGGAGTAGCTGGGGGACATACAACACAGTGCTCAGTGTCCAGGGCAGGGGTATGGCGCTGAAGCTTAGGGCATATGGAGCCTGTGCCTCCTACTGCCCCCACAGTCTGAACAGACAAAAGCCATTCACAAATTTGAAGCTCTGTTGAGGGTGAATGGATGGGGTCTGATGGGGATGCAGCTGCAGCCAGCTGGCATCTGCTTCAGGGGCCTGGGAGCCAGCGCCAGGTGTGCACTGTGCCATTGCTTGTGCACGTACCTGCTGCTTTCTTTGGAGAACTTTTCCACCATGTAGACAACTTCATTGTGTAGGTTGATCAAGTAGCTGACTAAGGCAGTTGAACAGAGGCCCAGGCCCCGACGACGTGGTAGGATGACTTCAAAATCAGCATCCAGATCCAAGTCAGAGCTGCAGTACTCTTTAGGGAGCTTAATCTCACCTTTAAATGACAGGGTTATTCTCAGCAGACAGCATTCCACCCCAAGTGTCTGGCAGAGCCACACAAGGGCAGATTCTAGGTGCTCAGTGCCAAGGGGAAGGAGGACACTCACCGTTGGTCTCCAGTGATCGCCTCAGGGAATTCCACGTGGACAGAAAAATAGTGATCCTGTCCTCAAACAACTTCTTTAGTCTTTCTGTTGGACAAAATACTTGGTAAGAAGCCATGGAAATAACAAGCTCATCAGAGTGAAAGCAAGAAGAGTCTAGAAGGGACACAGAATAAACTCAGCTCTGCTTCCTCCTATAATCAACCACTAAGTAGGACGCTGAGTTGGAGAAACTAGAGAGAAGGGGCTTCACAGCTGCCACAGAAGCCTCTAGTGTATCTCTAGGACCCAGGGGACCTTCACTGCATGCTCAGAGCTTAGGACATGGACCACCCATGAGCCCTGAGCACCCACGTGAGCCTCACTGGAGTCATCCTTTGTAATCACCGAGCACCAGATGATTCTGATCTCTTGTTGGAGCAGAGAACAGAGACATACCTGAACTGTGACTTTTAATAAATCTTTTGATGGAGCTGGATTCAATCTCAGGAACATTCTGGAATTGTTTCACTAGGCTTTTTTGTAGGGCCAAAATCTCAGGCAGGAATTTCACCAGCCTCAGTTCTGCCTCCTGGAGAAGGGAAGACCACTCAGTAACACATCCTCTATTCACCTTGGAAATGTTCTCGGGCATATAGACTTTGGAGCTGGCTGAGGACTTGTCTTTGTGGTTTAGTCTGCTCAGTGGGCCATTCTAGAAAAGGCACACTCAGGGTTAATGGGAAAAGTGCCATTCCATCTTTCACAAGTAATTCTGGAGAAGCTGCAGTATGCTAGACATTGGCCTGCTCCTGAAGGATGGAGGATGCCTACAATGGAGTCCTGCCTTCCAGAAGCTGATGCGTCAAGTGTGAGGGCCAAGCAAGATCCAAAGCAAGAGACTAAAGCTTGACCCCTATTTCTTATGTTGCACCAAAGTCAACTTAAGAGGAATCAAAGACCTCAACTTAAGTCCCAAAACTTTGAACTTATTGGAAAAAAAAAGGGGGGAAATACTTCAAGATAGTGGTAACTGGTGTTAATTTTCTGGACAGGACCCCCAAAAAACAGGAAACAAAAGTGAAACTGAGAAATAAGATTTCATCAAACAAACTTCTGCACAGTAAAGGAAACAACCAACATGGTGAAGAGACAACCTGAAGAATGAGAGAACATATTTACCAACTAACCAAGTGACAAGAGAATTAGTACCCAGAATATTTAAGAAATTTAAAAAATTTAACTAAAACTCAAGTAACCCCATTAAAAATGGAAATTGGGGGGAGAAATAAAAATGGAAATGGTCTGAATAAATAGATACCTCTCAAAAGAAGAACAAATGGCCAAATATATGAGGAATGTTCAGTATCATTAAGCTATCATGGGACTGTAAATCAAAACTACATTGAGATATCATCTCATCCTCATTAACAAGAACATAAAAAAAATGCTAGTAATGATGGAGAAGGGCCAGCCAAATAGCTCAGCAGATTAAAGCATCTGCAAGCAGGTGCAGGGGCCAGGGATTCAACCCCTGGGCCTGCCGTGCCGGCTCCACCTCCAGGGCATGCTGAGACAGCAAATGAGACTGGGCGTGGTGGTGCATGCCTGTAATCCAGCTCTTGGGAGGCTGTAAACAGGCAGATCACTATGCGTCCAATCTAGTAGTGAGACCCTGAATACCCTGTAGACCTTTCCCTAAAAAAAAAAAAAAAAAAAAAAAAGATGACGAAAAAAAGGTACAGCTCTACACTGATGCTGGAATTTAAATGGGTACAGCTATTTTGCAGAACAGTGTAGAGATTCTTCAAAACAAAAAACTAAAAGCAGATCTACTACATGATACAGCCATCCCTTTTCCATGTATACATGGGAAGGAAATGACATTACTATACAAAATAAGACACCTGTGTGCCCATGTTTCCTGTGGCACTGTTCACAGATGAAAGTGTTAGAATCAGCCTAGGTGTTCAAGAATAGCAGAACGGATAGAGAAAGTACAGCTACACAATTCAGCCACGAAGAATGAAATCCTGTTACTTGCAGCACAATAATGGAACCAGAAGACATTATGTGTCTTAAGCCAGACACAGAAAGACAAGCACTGCCTGTTCTCTCCCATAATTTTTTTAGTCCATGTGAAATTAGGATAGTGATTCAGAGTGGGAAGAGGGCTGCTGGATTTGATTAGTGCATGCTATTACACTGAACTTCACCAACAGGCACAACATGTGTTAATAGCAAAATGAACTTGAACAAAGGAAAGGAAAAGAAATTGCCTCTTGGGCCCATGTGACTGGTTGGGTATAGAAGGAAGCTGCAGGAAGAACTCCAGCAGGCAAGGCAGCGGTGACTGCTGTAATTCATGGACGTTGCTCTGAGGCCTAGATCCACGCATCCTTGGCTGAATGCAACTGTGCATCTCAGTAAGCGGCCACTGCACTAATGTGGAGTCCTTCCCAGTGTATGCACTGAAATGATGGCACCGTTTTGCTTCTGGCTAGCTGCAAATGCTCGTCCATGATGGGGAGGGAGAGAGGGAGGGAAATGATGAGAACATCTACTGTAGGCAACCAGAGTTCACGTAGGTGGAAGTCAGCCTTCCAGGCTGAAGGGACTTGTGTGCTACAGCCTGATAGGTTCTGGTCCTAGTATAAATTGCTGAATCATTATGGTGGTCATCTAATATGGCTGAAGCCCTTAAAACAAAAGCCCATCTTTCCCATGACCACCTCCCTCCTTCTCCAGCTCAGTCCAGGGTGCAATTTCCTTTCACCATTCCCACCGCTTCAGGGAAGACCCCCAATCAGTTTCTCAGGTATATCTAAACATCCCCTTCAAACTCCGCTTTAGGGAAAAAGGTCATAAAAGCCTCAACCTCCCTTTGTTCAACTCCAGAGAACTCCTTATCTTCCCCAGATTCTCATGTCCTCAAAGATAATAAAGTCCCCTTCCCCTTTTCCTTCTGCCTGTTTCTCTGCTGCAACAGGTGCCTGAAAAAAACTATCAGAGCCCACCACTCCCACCCTCCCAGCATCTCCCAGCCAGCTCACGCTCACTCCCATCTGCAGCTTGCACTCCCATAATGGTGTAAGAACAGGGAAGACGTTTTGTTTGGTTTTGGCTACTCATTCGTCACTGAACTCTGGCCATTGAGCAGACAGGTGATGTCCAACTGCTGTAGGCTCTAGGACAAGCTGTGTCCTTTGCTTTCTTGCTGAGTGTAACCAGGGAGGTTCCCCCTGAGCTGTCAAGTTCTTTATAGGTCACTGCTGAGCGTCATACTCGCCCTGAATCTCTTTGCACACGCTCTTCAAAACTCCAGCGTGGATGGGTCAGTGAGGGTTCTACCCCTAAGAAAAATAATTCTGAGCAAGGGCATCATGGGGAGGCCTACGTACCCTCTGCAGGAAATGCCAGAGCACAGGCAGCGTCTCTTTGCCATTCTTGTGCTCCACGATGTGCTGGAGGTACTCAACTGTGATCTTCTTCCTGCAGCTCCAGATCTTTGAGCAGTGGACCACACTCTTCTGGGGTAGGCAGGAGAGGAAGATGGCTGGATCACCATATATGATTTTGGCCACAGGGCTGGAGCTGATGCGCTCATCTTTGCTGATGAGATCATTCACCATGAGGAGGTTTTTATCCAGACACTAGATGAAGAAAGACACAGAAGTCTGAAGTGAGAAGTGCCACAGATGGACTGCCTGGCACCTTGTGACTTTAGCTCAGGCTTCCTGGGGTCTGCCTGCAGACATTTGCTTTTGTTATAATTTAAGTGTTTGTTGTTTGTAGGTGATGTGTCTCCCCAAATAAAGTCATTGTCTTTCTTTCTTTCTTAAAAAATGTACTTGGTATTGGGTCTCACTATGCAGCTTGGACTTATAGAGATCCTCTTGTTTTCAGCCTCCTCAGCACTGGGATTACAGGTGTGTGCCACCGTATCAAACCTGGGTCCCTGTGCTTATCTAAGCAGGTGCTTAGTCCTCTGAGATATCTTGCTGGCCCCCTTCTTTTGTTTGTTGATGTAGTTAGTTATGTTAGTGAAGTCCTTACCCAACATAGGAGTAATGAATCTGATCTCGAAGCCTCTCTTGGGAGTTTCTGTAAGAAGGTTTACATCTCTATGTCTTACTTTTCCATCCTCTCTGAAAAGTTAACAGAGGATTCAAGAATCCTGCTCCTCTTTTTGTCTTAGCTACTGACATGCTCATCAGACTAAGGAAGACCTGGAAGCTTTGGAGCTATATGAGCCATAGCCATGGCCGCATTGGCAACCGGAAACACCCCGGAGGCCAGGGTAATGCTGGTGGCGGGCATCATCACAGGATCAACTTTGACAGATATCACCCAGGTTACTTTGGGAAGGTTGGTATGAGGCATTACCACTTAAAAAGAAACCAGAGATTCTGCCCAACCGCCAACCTTGATACATTGTGGACACTGGTCAGTGAGCAGACACGAGGAAATGCTGCCAAAACCAACATGCAATGCTGCATACTGCCGAAGTGATTTCAGGCCTCCTACCTAGCCCAGCTCACAGTACTCACCCTCAAGCCATTCCTTTCCTCATGAATTAATTAAACTTAGGTTCAGCCCTGGATCAAGGCCTTTGTCCCAGATAGCCATCATCATAGCTGGACTTGGGACCCCTGAAGTGGTAGGCTGGAATTAACTCACTAAAATTCTAATAACTCTTCCATGGGATTACAAATATATACTTCCCGGGCTGTGATGAGAACCAGAAAGGGCTCTTTATAGGAAACTGCTACTCACACTTTCAAAATTCCTGGACAATTTTGTGGCCTGACTTGTGACCAGCCACCAGAGGGGACTTTGAGGACAGCAGGAGGGAGTAACCCTATGTGGGTCTCTGGAAGCCCTCTGTGGTCCTTCCCCAAGAGAGCTCAGCAGATGTACGGGACAGAAGCATCCTGGACAGAGGAGCCGGACAGTGGTCACTCACCTTCAACTCAGGTAAGATAAGAATTTCCATGTATTTCTCCCAATTGTTTCTCCGATCTTTGGTTGATAGTTGTTCATCAAAATTTAAAGTGTCTACAAAGAAAACCAAAATATATGGGCTACCCAAGGAATACAAATCACAGAAGTCTACATAAAGGAAACAGAAGTAGTGCTCCCTTTGTTAACCTTCCAAAGGTAACCTAAGTTTTAAAGCAGTTCCTGTCACACCAACAACCTATTGAGGAGCCCTCAAGCCCATATTAGGTGTAGTTTTAAAGTTATTCTGAACAAAATCACTAAGACAAGAGCCGAAATTCAGAGGCCCAGGGTCATAGCAACAGTGGCACCCCCCACCATCCGCCATCTTGGCGGTGGCCTGTCAGCGAGGGGACCTGTAGAAGCAATATAGATGCACAGTGGTAGGCATCTCAGGAACTGCACACTGAGCTTGCCAGGGCTGGGTGGGAAAATCACCAGAGTGAGAGGCTTTCACTAAAATTTGATTTTTTTTTTTTTGAAGGACAACTACATAATTATATTGGCTTCTGGCAAAGAAGTTCCTGAAGTGGGGACCGTCTCTGGTCCTAGGCCAAACTGTTTATTACATTATTTTCATTATGCCTTTTTTTTTTTTCTTTCTTTTCTTTTTGCAGTGTTGGGGATTGAAACCAGAGCCTTCTCCATGAACTGCAATTCTACCCATCTCCAACTTTTAATTTTGAGAGAGGTTCTTGCTAAATTGCCCAGGCCTAGCTTGAACTTAACAGTCATCCTTCCTCAGCCTCCCAGAGTGCTGGGATTGCACACATACATCATTATGCCTGGCTTATCATTATCCTTACAATTTTATTTATTTGACCAGGAATTGAACTCAGGACCTTGCACTTGCTAGGCAGGCGCTGTGCCACTGAGCTATCTCTGTGGCCCTACAATGGTTAGTTTAAAAAGACTTTTATAGATAAGCAAAAAGAAAATCTTTCTGAATGCCACAATTCAGAGTCATTTACAAAGTTATCTTGTGGTCCTTTTTGTCCTACAAAGACTTAAATATTCAAAATAGAAAAATCAGCTCAGGGAACATTTTGTAGCCTGCTTTTTCTCACACAGCAAACTACAGACATGCACATGTATTATGTCAGTGTACAACAATGACACATTTAGGAAACAAGTGACACATCACCTGTGTGTGTGTTTGCACATCACCTGCTTTGTTCCAAATACAGTGGGTCAGCGCTGTACAAATGTCCTGCTCCTGACTCGGCAGGTCTTAGCCAGGCGGATGGAGGAACAGAGCCCACGCCCACCCTCAGGCTAAGAGTCCTTCCGGGTTCCCCATGACCTTTGATTTTGCTCATTCTGAGGCCATGGGAAGCTTCCTGGGCTTCCTGGCAGCTGTGCCTCAACCCTCAGCCCAGCCCGCACCCCTCCTGCTCCCCTTACTTTGGCCAAAGGGGGCATGCTGCACTCTGAAAAGCCTGCGCAGCACAAGGTGGACCACGAGGCAGGTGTCATCCACATTCTTCCCCAGCATCTTGGTTAGCTGCTCCAGATCCCTCTGGATGTGCAGCTCCAGGAAAGCCTTTGGGTCTCTCACTGGAGGCTTAATGATGTTCCCCAGAGCCTGTGGGGCAACCGAACACAGCGTCACATGCAGATAAGAGGTGAGGCCCCACAAGCACACACCAACCCTGAGTTGCAGTGTGGCTTCTCAGGTGAGGTCATGGAGCGACCTACCCACAACACAACAGTTGCTGCTGCCGCCTGTGATGTTACCCAAGTCCCACCCTCTGTGTAATGCTCCTCTTTCTTGCCCTATGGCCCCATCAGCCTCTCCACTCCCAGTGTGGACTAAAGTTATGGTGCTGTGTCCTCCAAGTCTGTTCACCTATACACCTGCACTCAGGTGTCATACCGTAGCTTATAAATATGTGTGATGGTCTGTATCACTTAAAAATGAAACTATACTTTAAAAATAAAGAAATAGAGTGGATTTTATATAACTTGACAAGGAACTCCCACATTCCATCATATGCCACTCTGGAGAAAATAAGGAAAAGGAAATGGAAATACCTTCTTTTTTTGGTGGTACCAGGGATCAAACTCAGGACCTTGTGCTTGCCAGGCAAGCACTTATTCCACTGAGCTTCTCCCTGGCCCCATAAATACTGTATTATTTATGGACTAGGTATCAAGGACAACAGTCAAAATCCCAAGGCAGTGGCTCAGACTCTAGACAACAGGGCCAGGAGAGCACAGAAGTTTCTTCTTATGGAAACCCAGGCCTGTGGCAGTGCTGAGTGATACCTCAGGACTTTGGGCAGCTCCCAGCAGCAGAGCCAAATGAGTAAGCAGTCGGAGGAGAATGAAGACAGGTGGGGACAGCTCCCGGTCAGGTGCCACGGTCACACCTCGGGGCTGTGGGTTGCCCAGCACGTGGCCACTCTGAGTTCTGTCTATGTCTTGCCTGTAAAGGATGAGAGAAGACGTGGTGAAGACTACATCCCCATGGGCAGGGGAGACAGCTCAGCGGTCTAAGTGCCTGCTTGGCAAACACAAGGACCTGGGTTCAATCCCCAGTACCACATGCTGTGTTGGCCCCAGAACCCCAAGTGCACTGTGCAGGCCACTGAAACCAGGCATGGTGGTACGCATCTGTAATCTCAGTGCTGGGGAGGATAGGACAGGAGGATCACGATGAGTCTAAGCTGCATAGCAAGACCCTGCATCTAAATAAATAAATAAATAAATAAGACTACATCCCCAGTTCTGAAGAAAATAATGTAAAAAGTACTTATTCTTTATACCTAGATCACCTGCCTATGGGTCTTTTCCCTTATAAACTCATCTTTCTGGTTAACTAGGCCCCACAAGGGTCTTGGTGTAAAGTGGTAGTCATCCTAATGTGTCAACTGAGACCTACACCTGTCCCAGGTCAGCTAGAGTTTGGGACATGTACATCTGTGCAGGGAATGTCTACATTGATCTCAATCTTTACAAGTCAAAACCTTGGACAACGGCTGGTGAGATAGCTCAGTGGACTAAGTGCTTGCTTAGGTAAGTGTAGGGGCCAGGGTTTGATCCCTGGCACCACATGCTGTACCAGCCCTGCCCCTGAGTGTGCTGAGCTGATGATGGAGTCTGGGTGTGGTGGTGCACGCTTAGAATCCCAGCACTAGGGAGGCTGAAAACAGGAGGATCACTATGAGTCCGAGTTGCATAGTGAGACCCTGTGCACGTGCGCTTGCTCACGCGTGCGCGTGCACACACACACACACACACACACACACATACATACACACCACCTTGGACAAAAGGTCTGGCAATAAAACCTACTCTCTCTTTTTCTTTCTTTTTCACAAGATAACACTATGTAGTCCATACTGGACTCAAACTCTCAATCTTCCTGCTTCAGCCTCCCAAGTGTTGGGATTAGAAGAATGTACTACCATACTAGGTCAAAACTGTATCACATCCAGAAAGGAGATATAGTATGATCCATTTAGCTACAAAAATATTAGTGACCTGAGGATACCCTAATAGTTATGGAGATAACAGGATCGATTTTTCTCTTTTTTTGCAGTACTAGGAATTGAATCCAGGGCCTTCACATGAACTACATACCCAATCTTTTTTTTAAAACAAATTGAGATTAAGGACTCTGTGTTTCTGTTTCCCAGACTGGGCTCGAATTTGTGATTGATTCTCTTGCCTTTGCCTCCCAGGGTGCTGTGATTATAAGTCATGCACATATCCAGCACAGGCTAGGATATTTTAAGGTCTGACACTACCAGAAAAGTTGGATGTATGGTGACTACAGGTATCTAAGGGTAACACAAGCACCACACCCACCTCTGGGGCAAGCACGGCAGTGTGAGGTCTGATTTCTGTCTAGGTGCTAAAGCCCAGGAGAGAAGGCTCTCCTATGCATAGGTTGTAGATTCAGCCAAAAATAGATCAGAAATGTTTGAAAAACCTGCACCTGTACTGAACATATAAAGGCTCCTTTTTGGTCTTTATTCCCTAAACAATATAGCCAAGTAAGTGTGCTTACAGCTTTTACATTGTGTTAGGGTTATGAGGAACTGGAGGTAACTGAAGTGCACCGGAGGATGTGCCTGGGGGTGCAAATATGACATTTTACATAAGACAATGATATGTGGTATCTGAGAGAGGGCACTGTCCTGGAACCAAAACCCATAGACACCAAGGCCATTGCCAGGATTATGTGTCCTTCACTATTCTCAAATTAAAAAATGAAAACAGGAGGTCACTAAGACAGCTTACAAGTGACACATACCAAGGAAACAAATGCCTGGGTTTTGGTCCTGCAAACTTACACGTTAAGTCTAAATTAGATTACCCTTTATGCCAAGTAAAATTTTACAAGGGTGACTGACCCATGGCCGACATGGAAGGCCTTTTTAATAAGAACAATTGTGTCATATGTTTTGCATTTAAGACCAATGGCAGATGAAACATCTCAGTGCTATTTGACTACAGAGACATTGTCACTGAAGCCCAAAACAACACGGGTACAAATGTGTGACCCTTGTAATAGTACAGCTGGCATGATTTCTCAGCTGGAACAGAAACAGCCCCCGAGTCCACAGTGTGATTCTTAGGAAAGACACAAGCTTACGTACTGGATGATGTGAAAGCCAGCTTCAGGTTTGTGATTGACGCCTCCAATTAGAGCGCCGCAGTCCACACAGCGGGCCTGCTCCATTGGCCTGCCACACTACAGGGGGACAAGGGGACACAAGGTCAGCATGGCAGCCACCACTCAGTTGTACCTGCCCCAGGATGGCCTCTCCTGGGACTTGCAGACTTCAAGGGCACGAGAGCCCTGTCC